CACCTGCAGCGGCTGGCTGCAGGACATGCCTTTCCCATTACCAAAGTGGTTAAAAATAAAGCAGTGCTCTGGCTTTATTAACAAACATTGTTTTGTGCTGCAGAAGCCCTTTTCCCAAACACGAGTAAAGCATTTCCTATAGCCAGCTTCACAGTGTTTTCTCTGTGCAGACCTCTAGTTTATTTTTAGGTACCTCTCTGGGGCAAATCCTATTTCCATTGAAGCTTTACGCCAGCTTAGTTTTCACTTCCAGGGAGTTAACAGAAGCTGGCTGGTGGCTTTGTAAACAAACACATCTCTCTGCCTTTTAGCATGGCCTGTCCTCCCTCTCTTGGCCTTTCTTCTGTATTGTTTTCAAGTATTAGTCCCCCTCTATGTAAAAATGCTCTGAAAGCAGACACTGGGCTTAATTTCAGCCCCTCCATCGCTGCTTGCCATGCCTGAAGGCATCTTTCTGCACTGCACTACCGGCTCCAGGGCCGTGAGGCTGGAGAGGGCTCTGGGCTGGCATGGCCATGGGGAGCAGGAGCAGCAATTCAATTTTCTTTTGGTTCTTTTTCTGATTTTACAATTTTGAACCTTTTGCAACTCATCATTTCTTTTTTAAAGAGCATTGCTCAGAGTCCAACGTGCTTCTGAGCCTTTTGACATCTGGAAATAGGTTTTATTAAGATGAAATACAACAGTTTTTTCACAGTTTTGGAAGGTCCGAGATAGATAGTTTTGATTTTAGGTTTGGGTTTTTTTTTTTTTACATTACCTATGAACATCTCCCACTTAAAACTAAACCCACTCAATTATTCTCAGAAATGGATGCATCTTTCCACTTGCAATTGAATTTCTTTAAAATGAAACAATGCAAGAAGAACCTTTCTGGTTTTGATACCCCCTCCCAGTTTGATTTATGAAAGGATTTGGAAAGCATATGCACGGCTTGCACGTGTGCTCTCACTCAGTGAGGCTAAAATTGGCTGGATAGCCCCTAACTACCGGTAACAAATGCCAAACGTGTTTCACATACTCGGTCATTCAAGATCTGGAGTCAAACAAGCCCTGAGCTGGGCAGCTCACTCCACCTAAAGGAAGCAGGAGGCAGAAACCACTGGTCCTCCTTAGTAAGATAAAGTCATAGAGGAATAATAATATTAATAATCATGATGATTGATGATGACAAAAAATAGGTTCAACAAAAAGCCAAATAATGCTTTTAAGACCGATGCTGTAGGAGCACTAAGACAGAGCCTTGTCAGCAGTGGTGAAGACGCAGCAGCTCAGAGAAAGCCCTACCAGGAGTCCTGGTGAAGGAAGTGTGCTGGATTTGGGGCAGTCCAAAGGCAACTATCCTCCTCCCCTTTGCAGAGGTGCCGGTGACGGGGCCCAGCATGGGACATGATGGGGCACACACAGCAGGTCACAGGGGACCCATGTCAAGCAATGTTGGTGGGAAGCTGTTGTGGCATTTCCAAAGTATTTAACCTGTTTGCTTCTGATGCTGACCCCACTGGTGACACTTGAACCAGCAAAAGTATGAGGGCAGGGGAGCAGAGGTGCTGGTGAGCAGAGCTGTGCTTGAGGGCTGACTGCAGTCATCAAAAGGGGAGAAGACATGAGAAAGGGAGCACGAGGGGGACGATGTTTCTTCCTGATCCCACTTTGCTGCCTTGATTCAGCACAAACGGATTCATTTGCAATACGTGCACGTGCTGTGCTGGTTATTTGTATTTAATTGAGCTTCAACAAGATCAATGAATAAAATCTGCACTCAGGTAAAATATGATGACTCGTGTAAGAACAGAAAGTTTGGAGAGTGAAATAGTAACAGACTTTTGAGGGGTCTTTAAATATTTAAAAGATTTTTTTTTTTTTCCTGGGACTTGCTGGTCTTGCCAGCTCTTAATTCCCACCCGGAAATGCTTAATTTCCACAGAGACATCAATTCCCAGAGTGTCCCTCCTGCAGCCATGAAGTCACAATGTGGCTCCAGGACAACCAGCATTGCCTGTGGCTCATCCCAGGATGTCCCTTTCTCTTTGGGGGTGGCTGTGGGACGTGCCCTGGGGGCACCAGCATCAGCCTGAGCCCTTAGCTGCCTCAGGCCCATCACTGGAAGCAAGTTCTGGCTTCAAAAACAAGTGAGAAAGACAGACTGCTTCTCAGGGCTGCGTTTCTAAGAGAAGCACTGCTGCCGCCCAGGCTGGAGCTGGATTCATGGAGTCCTCTCAGTCCCTCCGCATAGAATTATTTTATTAGTAAAACTCATATGAGGCACAGGCTCATGGCTCGTGACTGGGCTAGAGAGGAGGCAAAGCACAGGGAGACGGGGGTCTGTGAGCGTGGGACCCAGCATCAAAACCAGAACACGATGGACGTGACCCTCGGAGGCTGCTGGCTCTTGAAGGGGCCAGAAAGGTTTACCCCTGGTCTTCCTAGGTAAGGACAAGTAAAAACAGCTGACACACATGCCCACCCCAGGACATGAAGACAACTGGCCAAAATCAACACAGGTCTTCCAGTGAGGGGTTTTTTTAAATACATTTATTAACCAATGTTAACACATTAAATGACTCTATATATTGCTAGTCAGAGCAGCTTACAAAATGCCAGAATGCATCATAAACTGGACAGCCACAATGAATAATTACAATGTGCATAGTGGCTAAGCTCAACACTTTAATATAGCTTTATGATTTGCAGAAAAATTAATTTTAAATCATGATTCCTAAAACAATCAATTGTAATTTTACCTAAAACTTATACAAAACCAGGCCACAATCTTTTTTTTTTTGTTTTGTTTTGTTTTTTTTTTCTTTAAAACACACAGTTTTCACGCTGTAGTAACTTGGAAATGTGCAACCGTGTCAACAGAGACAAAAAAGCCAAAGTAACACGAATCTTACTTTCATGCAGCTATCAGTTAAATATTACATATTCTGGAATGATTTTACACCAAAAATATTTCCACAATAACTTGCTTTCATAGGGGTGGATCGAAGTTTTGGAACTTGTAAAGTAATCGAACAAGATTGATTTTTAGTTGTGAAGTATTTTACAGTCACAACACAGAGGCGACAAAAGTTAATTACACATTTATCAGGCAATAATGTAGCTATGGTAAGACAAGTTACCATCTATTTCCCATTTTTTTCCGATCAACTTACCACTCAATTTCTGCAACAGGTTGGGCGTTATTTGGCAGATTCTAGTCAATTAACTTAGATCACCACTGTAAGTAAAGCAGATCAGGATTTCAGTGGTAGTTCACAGAAGTCTTAGTTATATTTTCGTCTTTACAATGACCCTGACAAATCCTAGAGAAGACTTTTTGAAAGGCTTTCCTCCTGATTCTTCAGCTTCCATCGTTCCATCATGTAATTGCTTTCAATAAATATCAAAGATCTAAATAAATATTTACAAATTATTCCTCTAACTTCTCAAAAAAATAGCTGGATGATTAATGGGCATATGACTCAGTCTAAGACCAACCTTTGAGAGGAACTAAAATGCGGAGACACTTGAAAAGAAAAGCTATTTAAGTAAGCTTTACATCTATTTAAAAAATTGTCTCTGAACATGGATGCAATTCATATATCTATATATAAAACAAACAAAAAGAAAATAATTTTTCAACTATCGATCCATTCCTATTGGTAATGCTTCTTAATCCAGACATTCCGCAAAATACAGACTTTTTACAAATCACGGCATCTTTAATACAAGAAAATTAACATGCATTATTCTTCATTCTGAGTACAGTGATGGAGCTCATTATTAGGCAATGACCCATTACTACAAACATAACGGCTTCTGTGAAACTTAAGTGCTTTTTCTCCTTTTATTATCAAGTTACAATGGACCAGGTGACACCAGATCATAGGCAGTCGAATGACATTGCATTGGGGGGCTGAAGGGGGACGCAATAAACGAATTTGTATGCCTCCTAATTCCGTGGATGTATAAAGGTAGTTGGGTTTTTTTTGTTGGATTGGTTTTTTGTTTTGTTTTTTTTTTTGGCTTTTCTTATTCTTGTTACAAGCACTCATGTTAGGACAAAGATGAAATGTGCAAACTTCAAAATTTAAATATTCATTTTTCTCTAAGATCCAGCTCAGTAAAAGATTACCCCAGTTCCCTGTGATTTTAAACTACAAGATCAAAGCTAATATTTTGTTATAAAAGTTATATATTGAAAAGAAATAATGAAAATAAAACACAGTTGGGAAATATTTAAGAAAAAATATGCAGGACTAGCACCTGCTGTGTCAACCCTGTTCCCTAAATTCAATCATGTACCCACTGGTATAACCAATAGATAATGCCTTTAAACAGTAAAATTAAGCTGAACAAAACCAGCTCAACAAGGTTAAGAAATAAATGTTACATCAAGGTAGTATGCTTCGTTTTGCTGAAACAGTTCTATACTTCTTACATTCAGATCTAGTTTTTAAATGTTCCTTTTGTTAAACTTGCATCATTTCCTTATTTTTAGATCTGCTGTTCTGTTTAAAGATTAAAATCTCTGTAAAACCTAAAAATGTTTTAAAATTTGCCGAAAATGCAACAAATCCTTTAGTTTAAAATTAGTTAAAGTAACCTGCTCCCACAGATGTGAAATTCATTTCGCCGAAAAAATTTTTGGAGGAGCATTCAACAGAAGATTGAAATTACTGTGCAAAATTTCTGTTACGAAAAGTGTTTAAAGGCTGGTGCAAAATGGGAAGCAAATTCTAAACAATTTTGGCTTCTTGGAAACAAAAACCGCTGTGTCTGAGAATAGTAATCGGGGTAGTTTGCTAGGGGAGCAACAGCTCTTTCATCTTTTTCTGCGGCAGGTACGTTTGTGTTCGGCATGCCAGTGCTCCTGCTGACACTTGATGGAGCAGTAGGAAGTGTTCCAGCAGCAGTGGTACATGGCCTCCTCTTCACAGTTGTAGCACTGGAGAGAACAAACGAGATGAGATTATCACCCTGGTAGGATCCCTCCTTACCAATGAACAAATATTCACACCTGCTCGTGGGATGCACCAGCATGTGCAGAGCAAGGCTTCTCTTTTATTTATGCTTGGGGCACCCAGAGGCAGGAGGGCATTTTTCACCCGTGCTGACTAAAGCGGCACTCTTCAGCAAATCTGCACAATGCTTCCACATCTTCCAGAGTATGGATTATTGCTTTTGAAAAAAAAAACATCTCTCGTTTAAGAAAACTCATCTCTCGGGGCAGTGAACTGACTATTTTTCAGCCACACAGTGCAGGAACCATCTTCTACCTTGCATTTGTGTAAGAGCACCCTGATCTATGTCTTGAGAGCTACTATAAATCAACAGGCACTTCTGGTGTGGACAGCTTCTGCGCAAGCTTGAAAATCAGCATCTCTGAGGTTTCTTTACCAGTGTGACTTGTCCAGAGGTTTCTGGGTAGGATGGTTTTGGGCTAGGAAAATCTCCAAAGTCACAATAATAACATGACTTCAGAAAAGATTAACTTGTTACCAAGTGGTTTGTTATAGCCTGTTTAAGGTAGGTCTGCAAGGTGGCCACTCTCACTGGGGCTTGCTGACCAAAAGAAAGCACTGCAACCTCGTGGAAAAAAAACCCCAACTTTGTGCTGCAGCAGTGCTGCTAGAAGATCAAGAAGGTGTCTTTTCCTCCAAGTCTTCCAGAAACCAGAGAAGGCCTGTTGTACACAGGATGGCTACGTGGGCTCATGCTCCATGTCATGCCTGCAAAACTCCTGAAAAAAAGAAATGCTGCAACACCTGTAATTTCTGCAGAAATACTTATTTCTGGGGAGTGCTGCAGCAAAGAGGATTTCTACCCCATCACACATGGAACACCCCTGTTTCCTGGTAGCTGGAGGAGCTACCTGGAAAATAACTCCACGGCCTCTGAGGAACTGAAACATGCTGGTCAACACCACGGGTAGTCAACAAGGAGGTACGGCACCCAGATGGGCAACGTGCCATGTCTCCAGGTGGGTTTGTACCCCTTAAGGGAGTGCTGCAAAAGCATTAACTACCATTCTAACAAAATCCTGTAAAGTAGGGTGGCACTGCTGCTAAAGGAACTGCCCTTGAGAGCCAGGTTCTAATGATCGCAGATTTGTCTTTCTCAATTCAGTCTGCTCAAAATCAGAGAGCATCTTTATGAATCCAGTCTGAAATGCTTATTGCATGATGGGGAGCAGAGGGAGGGATACCACAGTCTGTGCAGGCTGCTATCAAACCACAGAATAACACACGATTTACTTTTTATGTCTTATCTAGCTACAGCATTGTTAATAAAACAGACAATTACAAAGAAAACAAACCCAACTGCCTTAAAACAAAACAATAACACGCAAACCTACGCACTACTAAAAGTCATACCCAAGAAAGCTGACATTTACATTGGCTAAACTGATAACTATTTATTTACATCAGCAATAAAGGGACTGCCCTAGCTGCATGAGAAGGAAACCTCTCCATTTTCCTTTCATAACCCAGCTCCAGGGAAGCTTATTTGGAGAAATGACTGCAAACAAGTGTTCTCTCAAGAGCTGTTTTCCTGGTTTTTCATGTTGCTGGCTGCTCACAAGCCTGTGGGAACCATTAGGATCATCCGCTGGAAAGGTGCAGGGAACAGCTGTCTCTCCATTACATACAGCATGGGCCTCAGCCCAGAGACCAGCTTCACATCTGCTTGCTTGGAGAGATCAAAAAAAGCCAAGACAGGAGAAGACAACTGATGTGTGGGTCCTGCACTTCCTTTTACATATGGTGGCCAGAAGTGCGGGATGTAAATTTCCACTTAAAAAAGGAAAATAGTGTCATCTAAGCTGGTACCAGCACATGTAGCAGAAAAGGCATAATGCCAGCTGGCCTCAGGCCTCTTCTTTCCTTTGTATTTTCCTCTTCCTAAATGTTACCAATCACTTGGGGTTTTGTTTCAGACAGTGCACATCACGGACAAAGCTCATTCACTTAAAATCAACCTGCTGCAACTTAGAAAATACATACATGTAAATATAACTGAAAGAGAAGTTAAAAATTGTCTACAAAAATGATTTATGCACCAATTTTAATGAGGTTTATATGCAAATAAAAGAACTGGGAGAAATTAGAAAGGAAACATTGTTAAGACTGGCACTCTAGCCTGTATTCTGGAGGCCATAAACTGTTTTTACATTTGTTCCCTTCGATTGCTATTTACTTGAGGTAAATCCAGATTTTCAGGAGGTATAAAAATTAAATTGGGTGAAGCCAACTGTGACCAGTTAGAGCAACAGAAAATATTGTTCTATAACTATGTGTTAGGATCCTGAGAACTGGGAGTGCACGCTCTCATGTGCCCATGCACCACCGGCAAAAGGATCCCTTTATCCCAACTGGATTTTTTTTTAGGTATGAGAAAAAGACAACTATAGTGTGAATAACAGCAGCTGTATTCCCAAACCTAGACATTTGCATTGTGCAAATCCAGAGGTCTCTGCTTCTAATTAAAAAGCAAAGCCACCAAAACTCATTCAGAATGTGTGTTAATTACACGAGATTTTGGTAAGGAGGTATCATAATAGCAGCATACAAGAGCAGTACGACACACCAGGGACAGTCATGAATACCACTAAAGGCAAAAAGCACTGGGGAGTTCTGTAATTGGACCAACTCCAGCCGCCTGAGGCTGTGCGTTGGCAGGCAGATCCACCAGCTTGAATGCAAAGGTGTTTATCCTTACTCTCCCTTCTACCACATGCAAACTAGCTGCCTGTATGATGCCTTCATTTAAGCTGGTGATGGACAGATAGTTTTGGGGCCATAGAAACGGGCGAGACTGTCAAATACTCTTTGTCTCTTTAATTGTCTTGCTCAGAAAAATTGTCTTGCTCATGTCTTGCACATGATCGTAAGATACAGTGATGTGGTACCAGGGCACTCTGTCATTAAGCTATAGGATATGGTAAAGGCACATTGGAGTAGATGAAAGTAAGTTTCAGGACTCTCATAAATTCTGCCTTCAAAAATGCCAAAAAGCAACTAAAGCTGTGTCCAGACTCAGAATCAAGTTACTGTGGTTGAGTTACTTCATGTCAGCTAAATGGTCACAACGGTTTGTATGTGCAGTCTTAACTTTTGACAGAAGAGAGCTGTTTTGACACTGTTCTATAGTGGGCAAAGGCAATTCAATTTCCCTGTTAAGTGTCACTGGCAAAAGCATGCATGCAGACACCAGCAGCTGGTGATGCACTAAACACAATAACTTGATCAATTCAGAGACCTAAATAACTTCTCTGGTCTGCAGAGAGGTAGACAGGGAGGAATTTTCTAACTGACAGAGACCCAAGCACTGCAGTATTGTAACACCCACAGCAAAACCTCTACTAGGAACAGAAATGAAGACCCTACAGGAGCTCTGGCACTTGAAGTACTTCTCTTTACAAAAAACTCATGACTGTGATAGCCTGCAACCAACTGTCTCACATTAGTATTTATTTTACTCTTCTACAGAGCGGAGTTTTCTCTGCAGGGACCATCATTAATCTGTAGGAACAAGGACTAATGAGGCTGAACATAAACAAAGAGCTCTTTACAGCACGAACCAAACAGGAATTGCCGGACAGAGCCAGGGCTGGCTGTCCCCGGCAGCAGTGGCAGTGGGACGGGTGTCCAGCGCTGCTCAGACCAGCGTGCCACCTTGTGGCAAGGCACCCGCATGCTTCCAGCTGCATCTGGCAAAATCAAAGCTCAAAAGGAGGCGAGTAGAGACACTTGTATCCACCCTCCTGTATGTTACAGATAGCTGTTACAGTGGACTCTGATTTTCTGAACGATGGCTTTCATTTCCTTGTTCTATGAAAATTAGCAAAGAAATAGCAAAGTTTGTATTGTATGCCAGGCTCGCTGCTCCTCAGCAGAAGAGTTTCCACCTGTACTCAAAGACTAGCAGCAGAGTATTACACTGCTTCCAGTTGAGTAGATGCTGTACAACCTTGTGAGAGAAGACACTTGCAGCCTGAGAAGAAAACATGAGACACAAAAAAAAGAAAACCAGGGAAAAGTTTGCAGCATGAAATAGAATAAGTAAGTTAGTTTTCACTTTTCTAAAGGGCATACATTTTTGGTAGGCAATGCTGCACATTTAGGCTTAAGGACTGAACACAGGAGAGAAACATATTTCAGAAAGTCATGTCTTATATACAAAAGAATATAAAAGAGCTGCAGAAAAATCTAAGAGAGGAAGAGGCTAAAAGGATATCACTACCAGCATTATTAGCTGGGGAATCCAAATTGTTGCAGCCACATATTGTGTCCTCTGGGGCCTTGAGATCAAAGGAGTGTGAAAATAATGTAAAACATGTCTCATATGGAGTAAAACATGCCTCATATGGAGAAAAAAGTATTTTGATGCTAACATCTGACTGGACTCAAGAAGATGGTGCTGTTAACACCACATAATTAAGATGGAAAGTGATCAGAACTTTGAGTTGAAACTTGGAGGTTAAGAAAACTGCAAAGCAGTAATATGAAGGAGATAACATTGATGCTGAAAGACCAGTGAAAGAGTGGTGTGGTTAAAAGTAAGGTTAAAAGTAAAAATTGGTGACTGAAGGTGATTACCTTCAGTATGCATTATACTTTTCCACTTACTCTCTTGTAATAAATTTTTAATGCTTACCCACTGCTTCTTCTTGGTCTGGGAAATCAGTTGCTTGTGCTGGCCTGCGAGCTTCTTAATTTCTTCTAAAAATTCTTCTTTGCACTTCTCCTTTACCTGCTTACATTTTCTGTCCATCTCTCCTTGTGCGTTGGCCACAGCTTTATTTACAGCCTGCCTTTTCTCTTCTTCCATCTCTGTACGCAGCTGCCGTAACAAAGCCAGCAAAACAAGTCAGTGGACAGCTACTGGAACAGAAGTATCTTCTTTAAACCTCTACTCTTTAAGCCTCTATTACTGGTGTAGCTGAAGGTCACATAATTAGACTTTTCTCTTATTTAGGAATGTTCAAAATAAAGATATCACTTTATTTCTGTTCTGCTAGGCACTACAGAAACAGCTAAACAGCTCCCATGTATATTTTGTCAACATCTGGTCTACAAATTTATGAATTTATCTTAGACCAAGATTGTGTCTTTTCCAAATCTACAACTGCATATAAATCTACAGGAAGGGCACAATGGAAATTCAAAATAGAACATCCCCGAGTTCAGTAAGAGGTACCTTTTAGTATTCAGTGTTGATGGGATTCCTTTGCCCTTGATCAGTTATCTAAAAGTTTGGTGTCTTAATCCTAAAGGATTAACAGTTAAAACTCCCTAGGTTCATTCCACAGCCCTTCATTTAGAAGGAAATTCATCTTGTGTTAGGACAGGTACTTAAGAGAGAGAGGTCAAATCACCCCCTAAATTGTCCTGTTCTCTCCAGCTAAATGTGACCAGGTCAGGCATAGATATTGAATTTTAAACAGGTTATCATTAAATACAGACATTCAAACAAGTTTCACCAAATCCATTTGTTTAGGTCAGAAGATTGACGAAAAAAGAATTATTTATGAATAGCATTGAACAATGCCATTGTGTACAACCACAGCTGACAATGGAGACGGAGGCTTTGGAAACGGATACTTGTGAATGAACAATTAGTTTCATTTTTGGATCTGATTTCACTGAACACAAATCAAAAAAAGCAGAGGTTTTCTGTTTAAACTAAGGTCTGTTGGTATAGAAATGGTCTAAAAAGCAGTAATGAAGATTGTTTTTATGTGGACGCTTTGGGAAAGGTTTTTATTCATTTTCTTAAGGGTGGATGTTATAAAAATAGAGAAGAATGTGAAAAAAATTGACACTCCTCCTCTTCTCAAACCAGAGTGTAGGTGGTGTTTGACAAGTGTTACCTTTTCCACTGCCTCTCGCACAACTCTCTCAGTTTCTCTTTTGTGATCAGCTTTCATCCTGTCCTTGAAATCATTAAAGATTTTGGTGTATTTGTCATGGCACATGTTCTGACACACTCCATCATTACTGGTTTGGGTGCTCCGATGCAGCATTTTTGGAGAAGAGGCACTTAACTTCTTGGTCTGAGTTGAGACTGAAACTTTTTCAATGGGCTGAGGCATTGTGGGAATTTCCTGGCTTGAACTTACTGCTTCAGTTTCAGGTTCTGGCTCCTACCGAGAAAGAAGAAACTTGTAAATTCAGATAGCAAAATAGAACAAGTTAACTTTCAGTTCCCCCTGGAGAAAAAATGTTGCAGGACTAATGCCAGTGCAGTTAATGCAAAAGATGTCTGTTGAAAACCTTTAGTTCTAATGGGATATGGGATCCCTGGGGAAAACCAGTGTGACAGTGGGTAAGATCTTTGGTCAGGCTTTCTTCACTTCAGCTAGGAGCCCTCCAGAATAAAGTACATGTATGGCACACCAGCATGCCATGCTCACCAGCCTCACTTGCGCAGAAGTATGACAAACATCAGAGGCCACGTTGAATCACAGCAGATCCCTTGGGATGATTAAAGTTTTGCTATAGATTTCCCCCCCTACCGTTCTGCCTGAAGAGACTGTAGCTGTGTGGACAAGGTGCCTGAATTGTTTTGGCAAACTCTGGGCTTACTCTGGCCCAACAGGCTTCATTGGAGTCTGTAATATTCCCTTGATTTCATAGTACTGCTGAAAAGATTGATTAGTACTTCAAAGGTGCTTTCAAGATGAAAGGGTAATGAATATCCAAGTCTTGCTTCCAATAACACAGAACTAGACTTGTATGACCACAGAAGCTTTCTGTAATTACGCAATTATCAAGAAAGGAGTCATAGTTACTGTAGTGTACCATACTGAATTTAGCTGCCTATGTTATTACACTGTAACGCCAATTGCTCCTGATCTTTAGAACAGATAGAAGTAATATCCCTGCAAAGTCTTACTGACATTTGAAATGTCTGAAGACACAGATGAACATTATTTGGGTTTTTTTAACTTGGATTTTTTTAAAGCTCATTCAACAGTGTTCACAATAAGCACATACTCCTTGTACACCAGACTCGCTCAGGACTGGACTATGTGCCTGGCTGTGCAATGGGGCACTGCTCATACCAATCAAAAGGCTGACTGTGTATTCCCTTTTGCAACCAATTACCTTCTAATAGGTCACTGTGATTGACTTCTGGATCACTGATCAAATATGAGCAGAGCTAAGAAGGCAAATGTTAAGACATAAATTTATGAAGCAAATTACAGCATACGCTTGACAGAAAACACAATAAAAATGATGAGACATCCTAAACTGTAGTCTCCCTATCTTGCACTCAAATACAGTTTATGCCCCAGGGAGTAACAACTTTGTGTCACTGACTCCTTCAATGAAGGTTGCTCCTGTGGTATCATATACAATGGGAAGACAGGTGCTCAGGTATTAGGAGTGGCAATGTCTGTATTTCGGTCACCAGAGCCATCTCACATAACTCTGGTGCTAAAATACCTGAACCATCCTCTGTAATGGAGTCCTAAGCCCTCTCCTGAGGCCTGCGTGTACACGCAACTTTCTCTAAAGTGCAGCAGAAACAAGGCCAGGAAAAAGCACTCAAAACGTAGGAAATACGAGATTTATGGCTGTCTCAGTAACTGCCCCCTTGTGTACAAGCATAATAATACAGTCTCTTGGTTACATGATCATTCAGTGTGCAAGCTGGATAAACAAGGAAGGAAGCTCCACGGTCAAAGGTGGGTACGACCTTTTACAAACATAATATACTTGATTGTGCAAAATACTTCCTATTTTCTGCTGTTTACAGACTTAGTAACCAGTCTGAATTTGCCATTAAAAAAATAATGTTGTAAGCTGACTGTTAATTTATTCATGATACAGACTATTACCATGCTGACACCAGTGGTTTGCATGTGGGAGGTGCATAATTATGCTTGTTAGCAAGGAGGACCAAGCTATGGGGCTGGATCTTTCAAGATTAATACTGTAAAATCAGTAAAAGATGACAGAACTTGAAGGAGCGCCTGTGAAAATTTCATTTTTTGCACTGTGCTATCTCTACAAACATGGTAATTGAGGTTACTTACTTCTTTCTTGAGTTCCATACTCTGGTTACGTCGTCCTTTCTTTGCTCTTGGTTCCTGAGTAACCTTCAGCTATGAACATTAAGAAAAGCACACTGAATCAGTCAGAAAAAGAGTTCATAAAAGTTCATTGTAACATGACTGATGTACCTTTTTACCTTTTTTGTGATTATTTGCAATTATTTGATTTAGCAAATAGAAAGTTGAATACTGTTCTGAAAAGGAGAAGTACACACAATAAACTTTCCACATTATCACTGATGACTATGATTGCATAAAGGAGCAAAATTAATGAACAAGTTCTAACATTCAATATCTATTTGCTAAAATGCACTTAATCATTCTTTTCTTAATGTCACGTACCAGTTCAAACATGTGTTTTCTGGAATGTTCTCATATCAGTGACCATAATTAGGCATAATTGTTGGAAGCCAGAAAACAGCAGTAATGATAAAGAGAATGTAAATATGGAAGGATGGTATGATTATCCAGGCTTGCTATAACTGATTGTAACTGTATGTTTGGAGGGGTATGAAACTTCATGCTTAAGAATAAAAGCCAATCATCTCCAGCAAAAGAAACAAAGGTGAGATCTAAGTGGGTGGTATATTATCTTACAATGGCTCACAGAAACGTTCTTACTCCTGTCTTTGAAGCATCCAGTACTAGCTAGTGTTAGTGACAGGATACTACAGAGCACTGATCCCAATGGCTAATCTTATGTTCTTGTATCTGAGAAACCAGTGAAATGGATATAAGCATTAACCAAGTGCAGGATGAACAGCTGCAGTGGAACAGAAAATAGGCAAATGGACACTTCAAACCCTATGACTGAAACTTCTGAAAAACTGGGAAAATGGCACCGTAATATTTCATAAATATTGTCTGCAACCATCTTCCTGTTTCATCATACACTGTTGCATGACAGCACACATGACATTAAATAAAGGGGCTAAATAAGCAAACCAGGCTAAAAAAATCTAACCCCACTTTGATAAGGAGCATTCCCTTAACACAACATCCAGTTTTATGAGCTTTAAATTTTTAGCTACAAATTGGATGATAGACCTGTTTGACAAAAGAGCAAAGGAAGAGGGTCAGAACACGCTGACTTTTTAAATACAGGCTTAGAGAGAGGACAGTTGTTTTAAATGAGGAAAGACGATGTTGCCACGGAAAAGACTGGCAAGAATACAGAGAAGCATCCTGCAAGCTCTGAAAATCTTACTGCCCAGTCAGTCATAGTGAATATATCACACCCTCTTGGACAATGAATACTAGCAAGGCTCAGCTGTGGTAAGGGAATTTCCATATGGCAGTGCAGTGTCATACCTCGGCCCTTTGTGCTTTTCACCTTTGTTAAAGCAATATATTTTTTCTTGTTTTGCAGAATTCTTTGTAATGGTTTTAATCAGTTGCTGGTCACATGGTTCTCAAGCATAACATTTGCACCTAACTTTAGCTGGACTTGCTGAAAATGTCATGGTTGGTGTTACTCAGAGATCTCTAGCAGTCCAAAGTGAACATACTCCAGCTGTGAAAAGGCTGAACAGCTACAGCGCTGTCCCTGGATGGAAGTCCAAGAAGGCAGTGTTGCAGTCTATCTGATATCCATGACATTTAACTTGAACATTCCTATTTAACTTTAGAAATCTTGGTCTGTCTTATCAAGGTGCTGTAGGTTACAAACATTTTGAAACTTCCCAGAGGTCATCCAAGAAACTGAGGAAAGAGGAAAACTCTGTATTCGTGCTACTACCAAACCACAAAACACAAGGAAAATTATCCTTTGAACCCTCTTCTTGTCATCACTGAAAGACAGAACACAAGGCTAATTTAACAGTAGATTAATAAAAAATATGTCATCCTCATACCCTTTAATAAATTGCCCTGATTGCTAATACTGTAGCAGCACTCACCTGCTCATTGCTGGTTGAAGAGATACTTGACTCTGCCTCCTCTTCCCCTTTATCCTCATTCTTTGATTTCCAGAATCTCCCCTCACGAAGGAAACGCTGGTGCAGTTCCAGCTCATCACAGGCCTTCTTCCACCCCATACTGCGTTTCACGTGCAGCCGATGGATGTTAACTGTGATATCTTGAATGTTTTCAGAGGGAATCCAGGCCCTTTTGAATACACAGTACAGACAGGTTTAGAAACATTATATACAGGTGACCTGAGAAAATTACTTCAGAAGCAGTTTTTCACAGTGGCCAATCACTGATAACCCCTTTTTACCCAGATTTTTTGGTATATTCAACACAAATGATTAAAAAATGAACTGCACTGTGTTATTATAGGCATTTGTTAGCTGTGGGTGCTATTGATGAAAGTCTCTTTCATTTCTGGTGAGCCATAAACTGTCCCCATCACCAACAGCTGTCACATCTCCTACCTGTTCTCCTGCTAAATGCCCCAAGTCAGACATCTTTACTGAAGGTTCATACACTAACCCAATTTAGCCCTTTGACCTCTTTTCTAAAACTGCCAAGCAATGTATCACATTATCACCTACAATGGAGACATTCTGTAGTTTGGGCCCCTATCTGTCAGGACCGAACACCTGTAGAGAGTCATGCTCTTCTGGAATGAATTCATGCCAGTGACTTGGTTCCAAAGGTACTCTGTCCTCTTAAATATTTTCAGAGAGTTCTCATAGAGTTAGATGGACAGCTCTTGACATTTTAAAAGGTTATACCAAGCAACATTGAACATTAAAGAAAGAGAGTCACTGCCACGTACACCTACATAATAGAGTAAACACTGTTAACAAATTAAATGTCTGTGGACATATTCTCAATTCTTGCAATTTAAATCCCAGCGAAGTCATAGAAACAATGCTAATTTACACCAACCAGGAATATGGCCTTTCGTCCAAGTCCAGTACAATAACTAAGTAATGGCACTCTAGTAAAACGTATTTTGCCTTTTCTATCAGCACGTTAAAGAAGTTACAAGCACCTCATCCCACAATGCATGTTACTTTGTTCAACAGTTTGAAGCTGTGTGAACTTAATGCCAAAACTACTAATGAGATAAGCTGTATTTGCAAACAGATTCAATGTAAATCATTCTGTGACTGAGACACAAATAAAGATCCTTTATCCACTTTACGCTATTAGAAAATCTTGCTAGTTCATACAACACATGGAAACATGGTAGACATTGTGCAAGTCACACTAACAACTATTTAAATAATCAGCCTCATAGAACTCTGTTACTGAACTGCCTAGGCCCTTTTGGGATGCACCAAAATAAACCACCTTCCCAGCAACCATGAATTGCTTTATAAATGTCTCCTCTCCTCACATTGTAGGCATATAAATCAAACAGCAATTAAAAAAGAAAAAAAAAAAGGTGTAGATCCACTCTAGTAACATTACTATAACCTTACCCAGCTGCTAAACAACTAAAGAGAGATGGAAGTAAAAGCTTAGCTAAGAGTTAAGCTCGCAACGTAAAGAGTTACTCTCTCAGACTGCAAACTGGCTCACAGCAGGAGCTCTGTTCTAGAAGTGAGACAGAAAGATTTGTGATGTATATTGTATTACTAAAACACAAAATTGCAATGTGCCTGCTCAGAACAGAAAATTGAGGAGAGTAAGTACTGCTGGAGGTAAGAACGCATTTCTGTCCAATTTTCATCTTGGCCTGTATTAGCAGGCTGCTACTGATTTGATGAAACAGTTGAAGTTCGCTTGCTTGCTTTAATTAAAATGGCATTAAGTAACATCCCTATGGCAAATCTGGAAAGAGAATCTCAGAGCCATTTGGCAACTTCAGAATGTGTTAGACTGAGCTTTAGATTTTCTGAAAAAATTATGGCAAAGTATTCAGTCTTTCTAACATTGGCAACTAGCAGAGCCAGGACTTACTACATGATAGATGAGATAAGTTCTTTTGAGTATTGTTTGTAAAAAGCAGCACATGGAATTAATAAATTACCTTTGGTGGTGATGGCCAAAAAAGCGAACATCAACTTGATTGTCCTCTTTCTGCATGACTTTGGCTGGCCAAAACCCAAAGCCTTTCATTTTGGCCCAAACCAGCTCATGATTAGGTATCTGGAAAAAATGTTGTATTTATTATTGGATATGAAGTATTATGCTGATATCTCCCACAAATATTCTGCTGTTGATACTATGCTAGTATTTTAAGAATATGGTTGCTGTTATGTCTAGTGCTGTTTTCATTTTTATCTTCCTACAGTGCATATTTCCCTGTTAGATGTATTGCTTGGATCAAGGTAAAAAAAAACAGTCTGAAAAGGGTGTAACTGTCTATTGAAAACAGAGATCTTAAGCAACCCCAAAATTAAACTTGTCTTTATAGCTTCATCCAGGAGCAAAGTTTTATTTCTGTAAGCTCATTTTCTTGTGAAACGGTTGTAACTGGCTGATAACCAAGTTTTATAACCTATATTGTCACAGCTTTGAAGTTCAACCAACCTTTCACTTGTGTAAAATATCTAGGCTTACAGAGTCTTAACCAGGCTTTTGAAACAAGCCTACTTAAATGGAATATTCAATGCATTAATGACACCAAAACTACAGGCTTTTATACCAAAAAGCAAACAAATCAAAATCTGTGTCAGCAACATACACAAGGATAGCAGAACCAATTGTCAGGTCGCGCATTTGACAAATAGAAACAGTTCTTGCAAAGCTGCAGTTCATCCAGCTGAAAAACAAGAAAAGATATATAAGCCCAAAAAATCCTTTTTATGTGACTTCAGTAGTATCCCTCTCTCTTACGTAGCAAAATTTTTCAGCCCTGCTTGCTGATTTAGTGGAGCTACTTCTGTCTGTGCATGCTAGAGGTGTGAAACTGAGGTGAGCTGGGTGGAAGACAAGCTGCATAAACATTATTTGTGTCTTAGAGGAAAAGCAGAGGGAGGAGACCAATTCATGTCTGAATGATTTATTATATCTAAAATGCAAAGAATAGTTCTTTAAATTCATCAAATATTTAAAGTACATTCTGAAAGAAGTAATTTAACTGAGGAAATGGAGAAAGTGCAACAGCTCCCCAGCTTGATTTTTTGGTCTCCTCTGAATGCTGACAAATGTTTCAATGCCAATTATTTGGTAGAAATCTCACCACAGGTTCAATTCACATTAGCAAGTACCATTATTTATAACCCAACTTTACATTATTAGATCATTTTTGAATCTAAGATTTGAATACTGGTATATTCCATACGATATTCTAGTTGGAATATATATATATATATTCCATATATATATATATTCCAATATAACTATCATATTCCATATGATAGTCTAGTTGGAAAAAAAATAAAAAGGAATACTGAATCAGCTGTTAGAAAGTTAAGGGAAAATTTATAATAAACCTCACAGCATTTTAACTTTTGTAATACAAAGAATAATTTTCTTAGATTCTGAAATGAAGATCAAGTATTTTGTCTACATCTTGGTAATACTTACTTCATGACATGTGTCTTTGTAAAGCATCCTTGCTATATCAGCTTGTTCACTGTCCGCTATAAATTAAAAATAAAGGGTATGAAAAATCACAGTATGATCACAGTGTTCACAAAGATTTGCAGCTGTTATTGCTATGGTTTTCATGCTGTAATTGTCTGGTTTGAGAATACAAACCATCATTTAGTTACTTAGCTAACCCTTCTATTAAAATTTTTGTAACAATCAGTTCTGTACTTGTTTTCTGTTTCATATTTATATGCAAAAATACCACTGGGAGCTTTTAAACTCAACAATACAAGTACACATCTGAGAAGCAGCAGCAGGGAGACAGAGTTGTTCTTAACATGGATCCAGTTTCTCTCCTAGTGTCTCAACAACACACTGCAATTGTCCTAAAACATGACGCTCTCACCACTTGACAGGAACACAGGTACAATCACAGACTAAGTGTTTCCCTTTACACCTGTGTCTTTTTCTAGTAGCACATTCCCACCCCTTCCTACAAAGACAGTGTGGATCTTCTGATGCTGCAAACAGACTGGTCCCGCTCTCCTCCCAGTTTCCCTGATGCAGGCTGTGTCTGCAAGGAAGTACCACAACCTCTCTGAAATGACCGCATCTGTTACATCTGGCTGTAGCTTCTGAACATGGTGGAACTGTTTTTCCACTTCCAATCAGACTGTTCCATCAGATCAGCCATTTATTACCTTCCCAGTGACTAACAGCTTCTTTAACGCCTGTATACACTGCAGCAGAAGGACACTTCTAGTGTGGCGGTAGCTGTATTTGCTGTCACAGTATGGCAGATAGGGCCCACAAGTGAAAAAAAAACCATTTTATCACAGAATGATTTGGGTTGGAAGGGACCTTAAAGCTCATCCAGTTCCAACCCCTACCATGGGCAGGGACACTTTCCACTAGACCAGGTTGCTCCAAGCCCCGTCCAACCTGGCCATGAACACTGCCAGGGCTGGGGCATCCACAACTCCTCTGGGCAACCTGTGCCAGTGCCTCATCACCCTCATAGTGAAGAATTTCTTCCTAATATCCAATCTAAACCCACAGCTGCATCTCATCAGGTCCCTTGGACTTGTGCACCTTCATATTCCTTAGATGTTCTTGAACGTCATCTTCTCCTACAGCAGATGGTTCTTCATTCTCCCAGTCCCTGCCTTTGCCTTCTGCAACTTGGGCGGTGTGGCAGGAGCACTTGCCAGTGAAGACCAAGGCAAAAAAGTACCTCCGTCTTCTCCATATTCCAGTCCCATTTCCTTCCACAGAGGGCCCACATTTTCGCTACTCTTCCTTTTATCACCGACATACCTACAGAAGCTTTTCTTGTTGCCTCTGATGTCCCTGGTCAGATTTAATTCTATCAGAGCTTTAGCCTTCCTAACCTGATCCTGGGCAGCTCAGACAATTTCTTGGTATTCCTCCCAGGCTACTTGTCCTTGCTTCCATCCTCTGTAGGCTTCCTTTTTGTGTTTGAGTTTGCTCAGGAGCCCCTTCATCCACACAGGTCTCCTGGTGTTTTTGCCTGACTTCCTCTTTGTTGGGATGCCTCCCTCCTGAACTTGGAGGAGGTGATTCTTGAATATTAACCAGCTTTCTTGGGCCCCTTTTCCCTCCAGAGCTTTATCCCATGGTACTTTACCATGTAGATGCCTGAAGAGGCCAAGTCTGCTCTCCTGAAGTCCAGGGTAGCGAGCTTGCTGTGCACCTTCATCACTGTCCTGAGGACCTTCCTATAGTGTGTCTATTGTGTGCCTACAGTACACATCTCCTGACGCAGCACATCAGAGTTCAGACCTCTTTCCCGCCTAGAACAACGTAAGTGTACTGGCAGAAATCTGCAGTATAGACTGACTTATGACTTAGGTTGTGGAAGAAACAGGATGGCAAAGGTGCAAATTCCTGCTAACAGGTTTAGGCAGAGAGTATGAAAATAGTTGTGCAGTGGGTGGACCAGAAAAGACCCTGCAAAGTCCTCTTGCAGCTTGCTTTCATTTTTAAAGGCTCTCAAATTACTTCATCCACACTTATGTAATACCAAATTCCATCCCCAACTTGTGAGTTTCCTACAGATAAAGATAGATCAAATAAAGTAAGCAGTTAACGTAGTACTTTACCTCCATAGAAAATCACTGTGTTGTGTAGAAGTAGCTGAGCATCTGCTTTGAACTCCTCATAACTCCTGTACTTGCCTTCATTTACTTTCTACACAAAAGAAAACATAGGACTGTGAAAAAAAACCTGTTAAAGTGCTGTGCCCATTTTTATGCAGAGAAGCTTTCACAGAAATCTGCATTATGTAGCACAGATCAGACACTGCCTTTCCTGCACAGAGAAGGAATACTTACAACTCTTTGACATGGTTTGTTAGTACCTGAACACTGGCTGCATTGGTCCTTTATGCAGTGCCCAGAAGTAAATAGGTGCTCTAATACCTGACTAAGTTTATAAAACAATTCTCCTGGTTGTAACACGGTGAATCTGGGCCAGCTTCATCATAAGGTGTGGTCCAGAACTCTTGTTCAAATTAAAATATATTCCCCGAGGTGAAGGTTTTGTACCTTAAAATACCAGCTACTTTCAAAACAAGGTTGACTGCATTTATTCTTCCAGGATCTTCACTTGACAGTCAGTGTTTTCTGATCAAAGCTGATGTCTTAGTCCTTCAAGCTCCTAACAAACTCAACGCTCTTAACTCATGCCTACATGGAACCATGCAGTTCATTTTCCTAGTACGGTCCTTCATCTGATAAGGAATGCAGCATTTTCAGTTGTGCTCTGTCAAGAACACCTATGAGATTCCAGTCATCAAACAAAACATCATCAGCTTACAGGATGCCAAAAGACCTCCTTTGGAAGCAGGTGAAGGTGACACAGTGAAAGGAAGGCCTGACCTATTTTCAGGCTCAACTTGTGTTGCCTGTACTTTAAGCCAGCCAGTATTGTTGGTCTCCAGAACTATCAGTGATCCTATTCTTTCTCCATGTGTTTCAGTAACAGTAATAAAACAAAGGCTTTTCACATCTATGCTTTAAAGGGCAAGATGTACAACAGCACTAGATAGTAATCCAGTTCCAGCAGTGAATAAAGATAAATATGCTGTTCATTTTGGTCACGTGTAGTTGACTTACAAGAGTCATGGTCAGACCTTTAGTTCAGGAAAAAAGGACAACATATTTACTAGCACTTTATTTTTGGAACAATTAATGCAAAACAGATGTTTTGAGTGAGTCTTGGTTTTTTGTGATCAACAACATGATTGTTCTTTATGAATCATTTAGATGTTTATGAAGTTGACACCTACACAAGGGCATAATGACTAGAATTGGAATATGGTCAAAAACACTGGGCCAGATATGCAAATACAGGCACTCAAGGCTGTATTCAGTGACTCAGATAAAGGGTACTTTCTCTGAAGATTTCAGCTGCCTACAGCTCCTCGTAAAACCGTAGTACAAAAGGAATTGAGGCTACTCTATGTTAGAAAACCAGGCACTGCTCAAAATGGTTTTACTTGGTTACCTGTTTCTGAGGAAAAGCTTGAAATTTTAAGCTGCCATATCCAATGCTAGATACAAAACTGAAATACTGATCATAAGGAGAATGAAACAGGACTAGTGCTTTAGTCCTTAAGGTTTATCTTCACTGTTAAAAGACACCATAAACATGTGGAAGTTACAAAGCAAGTCACTCTACCTCCTGTATAGTAGGAACATCAACAGCTGAGTGCACCAGCCTTCTATACATTGGGTGTTTGTTGTCCTTCCCTTTCTTGTTTAGATCTATAGCCTGAAAGGACCATGAGACAGTGTAAGTTATTGCATTTAGAATCTGCTTAGAACAAACAAACAAAAAGATTTAAAAAAATGCAATAGTCTGGAATATTTCAGGTGGGGAATACACAAGGCAAACTGTGTATCCACAATCTGACAGATTACACATGTCTAAAACCTGGAAAAATGTCCATTTCAGAGGATTCACAGGCCCACTGCATAAACTACCCCAGACAGAATGATAGTAATCAGAGCGATGAGACCTCTAAGTATATGCTGAAATACACAAATGGCCTATGACAGGAGAAATAAAATGACAACCTCTTGCAGCCCTCCTCCCTGCAGAGTCACACATAGTCAACTGCAATGCATCCTCTACAATGCAACCCAACCTTCCATAAACTTCCCTGTTTCAGACTCACCCGCTCCTTCATACGAGAGACTATGAATCGCAGGTATGTGCTCATCTCTTGTTTACTTGTGTTTTTCTTCTTGATACTCTGTTAAAGAAAAAGAGGATCATACTATTATTTTAAATTTGACTATAAAATTCATCCAATAAAAATTTTCTTTGCATCACAACGTTATTTGAAAAGGTAACTCTGAATCACATGTCACACAATCTTTTTAGGGAAGATCTTTTCTGGGAAATTAGTAACACTAACATGCCACAACAACTAGATTTGTTGCTTTGAATTACGTCTGGGCTGAGGACTTCAGCTACGTAAGAATTACAGGTTTTATTTCCACTTGTATCTATAACACATTGTCAAAACGTCTCATGTAAAAAAAGTGTCTAATTAGAATAAAACAATGAAGAAAGGCATTTTAGGGAGCAGTTTAGAATTTATTTAATGGTCTTTTTATTAGAAAGGCATTAATATTTTCAGTAAAATAAGAAATTATTTTCAAAAGAATATCGTGTACCATCTACAAATTATGTGCTTACTAGGCAAAATAACACTGTCTAGGTGGAAATGACATAGGCTCTAGCCAGTAAAAACTCAGAGCACTTTTTGCTGCTCTAGAAACATAGCAGTTGTTGATTTTTTGTGGTTCTTCCTTAATGAAATCTAATCCAGATTCTGGAACACAAGCTGCTTCTTTTTAGCATTTCAGGATCCAGAGTTTCCCCCCCTCATTTTAGAGTGGTATAGATACTTATCCCTACCCTTCAAAGTCAATCCAGGCTAGTGGAAAGTACTGCATACAGAAAATGTGCTGCTAAAGAGAAGGTGGCTCTCTGCAAATGCCTAGCATGCTCTTACAAACCAGCCTTTCCAACTCCAGGTCACAGCAGCTATGCAGTTCTGCATGGCCTTACAACAGCTACCTGAAAAGTGCTATCTCCTCCTTGCTCTTGCCTACAGTAGTTCTCCAAAACAAAAGCAGAGTGAAACAACAGCATGGGTTCCAGTTTTATTATCCTGAAGTGGTTTCTAACTGCTCACATCTCTTGCAAAAACATTTAATCCTTCTCACACCTCCAAATTCACAGAGTGCCAAGCTGAGTTCTCCCCTTCTCATGCCTCACATCATCACCTGTATGCTGTATGAACCAAACTGGCTCATCCTGCATCCTCAAATTTCGATGGTCTTTAGCAAGATCCACATAATTGTGCAGATGACTGTTACTTAGCAAACACAAGAGAAAACAGAACCCATGTCCTAACAGGCAGGTAAAAGAGGCATGAGGCTTATGAATTAGTAATCACTAGAAGCGTGATTATTTTTTACTGAATTACTTATATATGACTCTGAACATATAGAGGGGTCAGACTCATTGAGTACAGAGCAACTATTTCTACATATTTACTCAGCAAAAGTAAATTTACATATCAGCACCTAAAGAAAAATGGCAGGATTTGATTGTGTCTCATCTACTTATATTCCTCCTGCAAGCCACTGAGGACAATAAAAATCAAAGGCTGGCCATTGTGCTACAGCAAGTGTGCAACCTATACATCTCAGGATGGTTCTTACTACCTCCTTCTTAAATCAAAACTGCAAACTACCAGTGAAGCTGTTTATTTGATTGCTTATCGCTATGCACAGAATCATTACAAACTGTGCAGAAGTACCTATACTGTATAAATACTTCACCCTGTATGCGTGTATGCATACTGGATAGATACTACAGCATGCATAACAACACTACAGCTTTTTCCTGACAGTACACTACCACTGTTGGGTAAAACTCACTGTTGTGAAAGGGCCAGCACCAGGTCTTTCTAATGCTTACAATGCATGTAAGCATTATTTTCATCATACTAATAGTTCCCTGACCTTCCTTCCAAATTCTGGAAAGAGTCAAAATTTTACCCTGTGCTGTATGTCTGAATTACCTTCTGTATATTCATGTTTTATGTTGTCTGCTGTGAGAACATGCATTCTTCTGGAATTCAATTCACCCATTCAGTTTTGCATAAACCAACACTGCTACTGCAAATTCAAACCCAAATGTACATTAAATTATCTGCATTACGAAACGCTGCTGTCATTTTAGGCACTGGAGTGCAGTATGCTTGCTAATGACACAGCATTTTGGAAGACTGAAATTTATTAGGACACAATAAAACTCACTCACACTGACACCTCTTTTCTGACATGGTTCTGAATTTATCATCCTTTGAAAGTATTTCAGAATTCACGCAAACCATTTTTCATGCCCTGCTGGGCAAGACAGTTTGTAAGAGACTGTGCTGAGATAGATGGTTTACAGTCCTATCCTTCAGATCATGAGAAAGGATAGATAGCTGGCTTTGTATCATTATTGATACCAGCAATTAATATCTTAAGCAGCAATGAAAATGATACAATTAACTTGCCAATTCAGGCAAACTTGAATTTCTCCACTTTTCCTTCAGTTCCCTAAAATATTTAAAGAAAAATTTGATTCCCAGGATCATCTACAAAATATTGAAAGGTAATAAATTTAGAGAATTGGAGCCTGTGAGCCAGCAAAAATGTCTTCTTATGGCAAGGTGGCTCACCCTTCGTAGAAAGCGAGATATAATCCAATGGCTTCACTCACTTTTCAGCAAAGATTAGCCCTTTAGGAGGTACCACTCACACATTCTTTGGAAGCTATAATGGAAAATGTGTAATTTTTTAATAAAAACCCCCTACTTTGTACTTTGAAGACCTGAAGTGTCCTCAGAGAAGTCAACCCAGAGGACTTAAAGCAAAAAATACGTAATACTAGATGAGGGAAATGATTTGCATAATATCTATATTGCTGTGACACAAGAAAATATACCCATTTTCAGGTCCCTTTATAGCCAGAGTGATATATAAGCAAGTATAGGTGCAAATTAGGTCTTTTGATCTCCTACTTTTGGAAACAAGAACAATAATGGTGGCTTGTGAATCTATAAAAGTGCATAGATGCACTGTGTATCTTTTCCCACAGTCAGATCTACTAAGATACGCTACTGCAAGCCTTTAACTACAAGTTTTTTTCAAGGAGACTGCTAAGATTCAGTCCAGCCCCAAAAGATTATAAGGATTTTTATACTTGTAGATACTCTATTTGTGGGATATATTATCTTAATATAAGGTTGTACTAGGTCTGGCTGGGATTACGTTAATTGTCTTCACTACAGCTCATACGGTGGAGTGGTTTAGATTTATCACCAAAACAGTGTTGATAACACACTGATATTTTAGCTCTTCCTGAACAGTGTTTGCACAGCATCAAGGCCTTTGCTGTTCCTCACTGCCTCCACAGTGAATTGACTGGGAGGTATGCAAGAGGTTGGGAGGAGATACAACCTGGCAGATGACCTGAACTAATCAAAGTGATATTCCATGCCGTATGATGTCATGATCAGCAAAAGAAAGGGAGAGGAGAGGGTTTAGGGGGGTTATCCATCTTTTGCTTGGGAATTGGCTGGGCATCAGTCCAGCCATGGAGGGTGGTGAGTGATTGCCTTTGCATCATTTGTTTTGTTTTCTTTCTCTCTTTTTCCTTTTCTTATCAAACAATTTTTAACTTGACCCAAAAGTTATCTTGGTTTTACTCTTCCTTTCCTCTTCCTCTGTCCCACTGGGAGAAGTGAGAGAGCATCTGTGTTGTGCTTAGCTGCCTACTGGGGTTAACTTTAAACAAGAATGATCCCTAAGCTCCACAGTTTTGGGGTTTTTTTTAAGAAAAATCTGCAACCCTTCCACTTTGAATCAAGATAAATTGAAAGGCTTGGTCAGGCATACGTGTTACATAGGGATTGGTAGGAGTGAAGTAATAACCTTACAACAGCAATCCTCATGTAGAAGATTAAAGAGACCTGTTAGGTGGAAGGCCAAGGCTGCAACCTAACTCTTTGCTTGTGGGTGCAGGAAATACCTTATATATGCCTTATTCTCTGTGACACATCTATTTCCTAGAAGGCTGGATTTACATTTCTGATTATATTCAATATTCCAGATTAATAATACTGCTTAGCTGTTAAAGAGGGTAGCAATATACTGCACTGTGCAAGTGTGACGTGTTTAGCAATTTGGACATGCTTATGGTGCAGGAATTCACTACAAGACTTTACGAACCACACAAGGTTAGCAGCAGCTAGGGGTACTGCCAGGAAACACTCCATCCTTCAATAGCACCTTTTACGATGGAAGTGACTACCCTTTGCACCCCAAGTTAGCATGTAGCTTTCAACTCCCAAGGTGACAATGGCCACCATGCTGCAGCTGCTGCAATCTTTCATCTGAAGAGAAAAAAATAGAGCGACTCCAAGAAAAGTAAGGTGTTAGTGTCAGCATTCTGTCTAGCTAGAAGCATTTCAATTATGTTTTCTCCCTGTAAAAAGGTTTCCGTTTCCCTATAATCATCCATTAACAAATATTTTTTTTTCCATTCCTCTCTCAACTGTCATGTGTAAACACACATCAAAGAGCTTCATTTCAGCTCAGTGATGGATTAAGTGAAGGCTGCTCAATGACAGATACACGTTTCTAAGGCACCAGTTCCATTTTCAGAAGCAATTCAGGTTTCCAGGGGTGTATCTGCAGAGCGGAACTATGTGCATGTCTAACATACATTCACCAATGCTGTTTAGAAACTCCTTGCTTTACCCACTGGTCCTTGGATTTTTTTAGGGCTTACATTTCCAGAGGAATTTGGTACTACATATGGAAAGCTTTACTGCTCTGCTGCCCTCTCAAACTTCCAACCCTCAGGTCCTCAGGTTTCCTGTACCATTAAGAAAGGTATGTAGGCATACAGGATGTGTCTCAGAACAACCAGTGCACCGTGTGCCCTAAGCAGCATACAGAAAAGCATCTGCCTGAGCAGAATATGGCATATGACCTGCCTCTTTCAGGACCATGCAGAGTTAAAAACTAGACTTTTCAAAGCATTAGGTGCTTTTGGATAGGTTACAGCTAAATCCACAAATTGGTTTGTACTTGTATGGTGCATTAAGCACCTTCTGAATATGAAGCATCATATGCATTAAACACACTTTTATGTACACAGAGGAAGTGGTAGGAGACTCTAAGCGGAGGTTTCCCAGTTTTCTCATTGCTGTGGACAAATTCCTTTACACATTATTAAATACACCCTATGCAGTGCCCAGTACTGATGGCTCCCTGAATTATTCACAGGTGCATGTGGCTGAAAGGTGAATGGAAGGAACCTGCCGAGGACTAACACCTCCCCAGGTGTGGGCTCAGCACATTGAACCATGTGGTGCTAATATCGAGCCTATACTGGAACTTCCCTTCACCCATCAATCCATGACTATTATTTGTGAGATTGTGCAAATCCTGTTTCCAGAATATGTTTCATCATAAGGTATCTTAACTCCTACCAAACACACCATAACAAAAGTCAACAGAGCCATGTTCTTTCTTCCTTGTATTTTACATTAACCATCCTGACTGACAGCTAGTACCTAAAACGATCTAAGTACTTGAGTTACTTCACTTAAGTAACCTTCATCTTTCTGTGCTTCTAACTTTCTACTGTTTGTCATTCTCACTTGTCAAATTATGTCTAAAGTTGATTGTGAGCTGCATGATGGTGTATTTTTATGTACTCTACGAAACGCTCAGAACAAGCACCAGAACTCAGAAATGGCCTATTTATAGAATACTGAGCAGCACAGCATTTAATACCTTAAGCTCTACAGTTTACTTTACTCCCTTATATATAAAAATCAGAAATACTGGAATACCCACTATGATAAGCAAACAGACTATAATTCCTTGCAAAGCACATGCATGAAAGATCAATCAATGATCAGATGATTGTGAAAAATTTAGGAGTCAAGTGAAACCATATGGATAATTCTTTCTTTTTGTTTCACAAACCAAAATCTACTCTTCTGGGACAAACTATATATCACCATGAATAATTTTGCCTTTCTATAAAATTATTTTAAAATCTGAATTTTTTAAAAGAGAAATAATACATGATATTTTCCTATTCAGATTTTTATCTGTATCTATTGCCTGCTCTCCAAACACTAGCATTTTTGTAGTACTTTCTTTAGTCTTTAGGTGCTAAATTAACAGCTGGAGAAAATTAATTTCCTCCTTTTATCTAACCAAAGAATAGCAATAAATGTACAAGTCTCCTGCACCCTTCAGAGAGCGAGTTGTCTAACCCTGTCTTGAATGGACCACTCCAGCAGTGGGGAATGTAACCTCTAAGTTAATTCAATATTGAGTCTTTCTCTTGTGACCTGTCTACCAGGAATTTTGCTGATAATACCAATTTATTTCACTTAAGACAACGATTAGTCAGAAGCCAGGGAAAATTTTCAATCACTGCAATGTGGTTTGAATTGAACTTTGTTTGACTCTCAACTCCTGCTGAGAACTATGGGTACAAAAGACACAGATTGGTACCAACAACTTACTTCAAAAAAAAAAGGCAGGAACTGGACATTCTTACTTATGGATTCAGTGGAGAAAAACCACCAGCAGGGAAGCAGAGGTCAGAGCAAGGTTTGCAAGGCATTGTTATAAACATTAAGGGAGGAAAAATATTTTAAAGTTATGAACAAATCCTTGGCAATGTTCTTTATAAAATGTTTCTGAGTAGTCAAGTGTGCAAGATAAAGCTGCACACGTTGATTGAACTAGTACAACCAGCAATTGTGAAATGAATAATCCAAAGGCTTGCTGACCTTGGCAGCATTACAGAAAGCAATCTTTACGTAAGAATGAAGTGTTCCTACATTATTTCTCCCAATATATGAGGTTTCAAACATACTTTTATTTCACCTTTGTAAAGAGCTTTGAAATCCCCAGGCGAAAAGTGCTATGTCCAGTTTCAAGCATGAAGTATGAAAATACATGCATCTCTGTCCCAGCTATTACTTTTCTTGAACGTACATATTTACTGCTGATAATGCAAAGTAAATCCCATTACCCTTATGCTAGATAGTTAGATAGTTAAACTCTGTTACGTCCTCTGGACATCAGCCAGGGCTCTTCAAATTACCATAGTTTTGTTGCATACAGGACTCTCTTGCTTTTAAAATTAAATTAGAGCAGTCCTTTCCTAGGAAGATGGGGAGAAAAGTAGTGGAAGAATACTGAAGCCTGACACAAGGATGCTAACTCCCATGCCTCCTTTACTTCTAGGGACTGTTGCAAGCATCCTGAGTCCAAATTTGCAGAATTAGGGCTTGTCGTGATTCAGATTAATTACAAAGAAAATAGAAGCTTCCAGTACAGGGGAAAAAGAATGCTATGGCATTCAAGATGCCATTATTCACAAAACCAGGTTGACCATCATCTGAGGCACTGAGCAAGCCAAACATCTCGGGGGCAGGAAGTATTTAAGAGTCCTCCCCCCCAACCTCTCCTTAGTCTTTGTGTAACAAAAAGGGAAAGACAGACACAGTGCACATGGTCGGAGTTTCACAGGATTTTTTTCAAGGTAAAAATTTGTTTAATGTCATTGCCAGCAAGGATTTTAAGGCTCCAAGATGAAAGTCAGAACTGTTGTCAAAGCTGACCAGCCTATGTATCTGTGCATACTTCATGCAATTATTCAGCATTTCCACTCTGAAAACATCCATGTTATAATAGATTTTATAAGCCACTTCATGTACAAGGTGGCTTAAACCATTTGCATTCACTACTCTCACCAGGTGTCATCTAAAATTATTAGTAGACGATCCAGTTTACCTAATTTTAACTATTTATAACAACTAACAATACTTATTATGAAAACCAACAATTATTAAAGAGATTTATTTAAAATCCGAAAGCAATTCCCCTATATATGGTCATTCTTTATTCTTAACAGTGGCAATATTGAGTAGCTAAATTAAATACTAATAGTACAATATGGAGACATATAGTGCATGTCCTTACTGTTCTTATCCTACATGTCCTTATTCTAAACTGGTTTGTTTCCTGCCACTATTTCTTTTTCATTCGTTTCCACTTTCCTGGGGCAGGTTCAATGTTCTTGCTATTCCCCTAAACCCTGAGAACTCCCAATCTGAGGCAACAGGTTTTTTACAACTGGTTCTAAGGTAGCAGCAGTTAAAAAGTGCTGTTTTGAAACAAAACAATCCACGGGTTTTCAAAAACCACTACTCAGTACTATAAGTGCCTGAACCCTTACATTCCTTGCAGCACAGATCATCTGAAGGTCAGTCTGCTGCTCTACAGCTAGACCAAAGCCTTTAGCAAGGGAATTTCTTCATCTAGCAATGCAAGGTGGAGCGCAACTGGCAGTTTTACACCTTTCTGTAGCAATAATTTGATGTTAAACATTCATATACATTATTCCCTTCATTTAAGGAAGCCTAAGAATGTGCTCCACTGGGGGAGGTGATGCGGAGATGACAACACTAAGGAAAAGTACCTGGCTGATTCAAGGCCAGGTACAAGTAAGCACCATCCTGACTAGAATGCTTAATCTTCTAATGACATGTAGGCAATATACCTACTCATTCTTTCAAACTATATATAAAAAATACTCTTCGCTGTCTCCCTACCATACTCATCAGAATAACAATTTTAAAGAAAAAGCAATATAGATAGGATGCTGTGGGTGAAATCCAGATTGGCCTTTTTGGCACCAATAGAATCCATGAATGTGAATGAGAAGCAGGATTTCACCCTGTATTTTTTGATGCTGCCCTCATCCCTCATCAGTAACAAGATTGTGGCTTTATAATGTAAAATATAATTCTAATAAAATATTAAAAATGCAGTCATCAAAATACAAAAAAGTTACATTATGATTCATTACAATGACGTTAAGTAAAAACAGTAGCATTTTATACAGCAATTTGTTTACTCATGTTGAAGATTTCCACAATATACTGCATTCACACGTGGCATACAGACGTACACACATTCCCACACAGTATACTGTGTGTTCAAATGCATAAGTAAAACTTGCTGGAGTCTTCAAAAATGACCATCTGCTACATAAACCATTTTTTGGTATCTCTGTATAGATGCTCTGGGTATGTACCATCGTTTCAATATTCAGTTCTTTATTCATTAACCTGACCAGACCATCTGGATACCTTCATGAATCTATTAATGAATATCAATCCTCTAATCAGCACATGAAATCTCATAGGTACTCACCCTGCAAACTGGGCACTGCCAGTGACTACTGCTGTCTCTAAGCCTGAACTCATCAGACAAACACTTGGAATGATACACACGAAAACACAGGTCACATATCAACACCTCTCCAGGCAAATGGCATTCAAAACAATACCAGTCATGATTTTCTGTTTCCCAGTCCTACAAAAAATACAAAATATTTTGGTATGACATTTTGTCAAAATCTGCAGGAACTAAGAACAAAATTGATATGTCTTGAAATCCAGCAGCAATTAGACATTATAAACATTTTAAGAAGTGTATAATGTTTAAAAAACAGGGGAAAACCTATGTGCTTAAAGATCTTCATCAATTTAATACACACTAACTCCAGACGAATATGAATGCCAAGTTTTAGTTTTTTCAAGTGTCTGATTAGTAACGATTTCAAATATGAGCTCTGTCCACAATGAAAAGTGGGTTTGTTTTCTACCTTCATGTAAAACACTTGTTGACCTCTCTGTATTAGACTACAAACAAAAGTTTGTGCAGCTCAACAGACCATACCTATTTCCTGGGACTATTTCCTCTTGTTTTGATTGTTACATTACATGTTCAACTGTAATTTTCTGAAGGGCGGTCCCTTCCAGTCTTTACTCTCTTAAAACTGACAACTTATCATCATCAAAGTATTGAGTTACAAGAAATAAACGAAATCATGAACCTATTACTGCAAGAAATGTTTCTGCTAAGCAATCCCAATGCAATTAAAAAAAATAGAAAATGTTTCACTTGCAGTGCCCAATAGCACAAGGCTTATTCCTGAAATGTTCTACAGAGGACAAAGGATATGGTTCTGCTGATGCACAGATGTCTTTAATACACTCTTCCCTGAAAATTCAGCCCCAACGGCCAAATTCTGACCTTTGAAACACGTGCATAAGCTTTGCTGAAGTAAATGAGAGCAGCATGCATGTAATTTGGAGGCAGATTTTGCTGTAGGAATCTAGAGTACTAAAACCAAGCAGAATTGCTAGTGGCCATCGTTAAATGTTTATATTTGTTATCTGAAATGCTACACTTTTCCCTATACTTAGAAGGTAAAATAGCTGACATATCTCAGACAAACTCGCAATGCCTTTTCATGTCAAGTGTCACTTTTCAGTGGGTTCAGATCGCTGAAAAAAATTACTCCTATTCTTCCATAAATTATTTTGATAAAAATTGGATCAAGCTATTTTTAACATCATGTTGTAAAGGTGGAGTTAGCAATTCCCACCAACTGCCAGAACTGGCATTTGTCCGATTCTCATTTTCCTGTGCCTGGAAACTACTGTCATGTAAGTCCTTGTGTGAGAGGTCTCCTTAATGGAGTAGCGCAGGAAGTGCTACACAGAGGTGGCACTTCCAGTCCCTTATGCTGAAAAACAGCTGTCTTGTGTACATAGTTCATCTGACCAGAGCCCCCATGAATGTAAGAGATTTAGGGACAGCCCCAACCCAGATTGCTTACACTAAAGTTTATACACCACGAATGTTGCACTGCAGGGGCAATATGTTTAGGTGAAAAAAAAAAACCCAGAACAAAACCAAAAAACAAATAACCTTTAACCAATGATTTCTGAACTCAGAACTTTGCCCTCCTTTGTTGTTCAGAGTAACAGTGTAACTTGACTCTTCTATCGTTTCTCCTCATTTAATTTTACCTGCCAATTCTGTGTATCTCAGAAAGAAATAATAATACCATAAAATCTGGCTATAAAGAACACATTCTTGTTTCATCAAATCTTTCCCCTTCTACAGAATCCAGTGACAGTGAACTTTGGCAGTTTTTTCATTACGATATTTTAGAAACAACTAAAGATACTGCATTGTTGATGTATTTGATTTGCCTGTAGACTGAAAAAAATCAGAATAAAGTATTGCTTTATATCTCTTTCATATTAACTGTAATACTTATATTCTTTATGAAACAAACAAACTAATAATCAAATGGTAGTAAAGGGCCAATTAAGCAAGAAAAAGAATCAGTTTTGATTAAAGAGCTCCCCAAATAAAAATTAAACTGAGAGGACACCAGTAGGTCCCAGGATTCTATGATTCTGAAGTTTATTCATAGTAGTTGCTTACTGGTATATCCCAGATATTCCATTGTTTGGAAATATGCTGGCAAAGAGACGTGGAATTTCATAAACATACGGAAATATACTTGTTGGCAAGAAAAATCATACACTCAAGCCAGAAACCATGACATTAAATAAAACACCAGAAGAAGCTTCCTTCAGTATTCACACTGTAAAGTTTTGAAAACATCATTATTTCTAAATATTATCACTCAGGTTTTTCACAGAAAAGATTTTTAGTTTAATGCAGTATATTTAGTGTATAAGTATATAGAAAGCATTCATTTGTGCAATAGATTTGAAAAGTTAATAAAGACAATAAAAAAGGTACATAGCCCTTGTGAACAACTGCCCTATTGACTTCAAGAGCAAGGTCAGAGGCATTAATTTTGCTCCAACAGCAATTAAGCATTATTACTTCTGTCGGTTTACGTAAGATCGAATGGGAGGAGAATGTGTTCCCACCACCTTTGTTTTTCGTGCAGGAGATCAGATTCATTTAAATAGCTCAAACTCTGACTGTCAGTGCTCGGTGTAGGACAGGTCAAACTCTCCGCCAGCTGCAAACACGGTTAAGTCTGCATTTACAGAATACACCACCAGGTGTCAGCAGCCACTCCGAAAATGACTGATTAAAGGGCAACCATTGTAACATCTTGAACTGTAACATGTGAGTAACCACTTGCAGCCCTCAGGAGAGAGAAAAAATCATCAAACTACATACATACATAATGCAGACTAAACTCAGAATTGGAAGTGATATGGATGATGGTGGTGGTTAATATAGTAAACTAAGCTATCCTAATGGAAGACAGAAACGTAATAGAAAATATGACAGAATTCAAAACCACATAGTGCAAAAATTGTTCACCTTGTTTTTTGCTGCTGTCTGGGAAAAAGGCTGCATACCGTAGGCCTTTCAAAATAAAAACAAAACAAACTTTGTATCTATACGGTAAGCCATCCAATTATCAGGATATACACAAGGCTAGAAAGAATTCATGCACAGTGACGAGGAAATCAATTGTTACTTCTAACATCTGGTTGCATACATCTCCTCCTGCATTTCTGGAATGCTACCTAATGCTTTCACCACAATTTGTTTCTTTAAAACATCCCATATACTTATATCATTAAAAGAACCCAACACCCATCTTCTTCCCCATATACACACCCACCACGAGGTCAACTTAAAAATCAACAAGAATATTTATGATTGTTAATTAATGCACTCTTTTTGATACACCAACCTTCCGGCATCTAAAAAAGATCCCTGTAAGATAATTTACTGCATAGGGAGCAGCCCCACTAAAATCAAAGCAACACCTTCTTTGCTGCATATTACCAAAGATTAGGCTACCACTTTACCAGCAACACTCATAGTCCTTACTTGTGTATAAAAGGTGATACATTTTCTCGGGGCCATGCAGAATGGAGGAAGGATCTCCACCACAGGGACTCAATTTGCCAATACCCTTATTTCCTGATGCAGGGTGGGGAAAGCCTCTTGTGTCACTGTGCTGGCAGAAGGGAATCCTCTGCCGGCAGCACCCAGCTGCCCAAGTTCAGCAGTTCAGTGGCACCCAGTGACTGGCCACAGGCCCCAAAAGGGAGCGGATTTAGCAGCAACGCTGCATAGCTCAGATGTAACAGGAGGCCTTCCCCCTTCATTCTACTCTGCTGCTCATTGCATTTGTAGATATATGCATCAGCAGGGCAGCAAATGTCTGTTTGGGGGATTGTATTTAATAGCCAAAGAGCTCTGCTCAGTTAAGCAGTGTGGGATCTTGTAGTGATATGGGTCAATTGTGGTCATTTGTTCTTTATATTCAAATCAGTCAAACATTATATCATAAAGGTCACTTTGCACTGACATAAACAGTTGAGATTTCTCAGCAACGTGAATGAAACAATGCAGCAATTTTAAAAATAAATCTTATGACCAACACATAAGCTTACTTTTTTGTAATTTGTCTTAAGCAGGTTGTCTTAAAGCAAATACATAAATTTATTCTGAAAGTATAGAAAAATAACATGGGACAGAAAATGTCACGCTATCCAGAACATTTGACAATTTAAATACAGATAAACCCAACAGAAAGGAATGAATCACCATGTCGTAGCCTTTACTGTAGAATAAAATATATAGTTGTTGTCAAGGAAAGAATAATTTTAGTGCATAAAGAAAATGTCCATTATAATGCAAATGTACATGGAAAAGAAATGCTTACTCATTAGTAATGGAGATTTACTTAGCTATAATTGAAATAGGGAATCTGTATGTTGGAGAATGTGACATCCTGCTGTACAATTAGCATACCATTAAGTAGGAGATGTGAAGCACATACTGACAGTAAAATTAACAATAACTCAGAGGTCACAATTGTAACTATTAGGTCACTTCCATACCTTAGCAAGCTCGTAATTATTGTAAAGAAAAGATGTAAAAACAATTAGTAAATTTTTATTTTCCTATAAATTATATGTAGTCATTACACATCAAAGCAATCTAACCTTCTTTCTCAAGAGTTTGTCTGTAAGGACTACTTTGCCTTTTTATAATGCATATTCCATTAACATAGCTCATTTCTTACCTGTTCATTTGTTTTCTCCGAGTCCCTTAATGGTAGCCCAGATACTTGGTATTAAGTCACTCTACTATCAGGTGGAGAGAGGAAAAGGGAGGAGGGAAAAAGGCAAAAGTCTATTCATGAAACTCCCCTTTATGGGGACTTGCTGGTTGAACTAGATTTCCCAAACCATCCAAATTATGGATATCCTTTGTACCCAACCAGTAAGCTAAAAAAAAAAAAGGTCACATAGATGGGAAAAACAATTACAAGTCAGTTACCTCTTTGATGCAAGCATGTTTATTTATGGGTAGTATACATACAGTTCTGGTGTCCTAAATTCAATATGACGCAAATGAAAGAAAGCATTTTCTACGTTGCCCATGGCTCCCAGGATTTCCTGTGTGGCACTTGTCCCATAGCACTCTTTGGACTTTTATTTTCCCCAGGTGTTCTGTTTCAAATGCTTCTCCAGAGTTGCTTTGCTGCTTATGTGTGCCCTGCTGTG